AGATTTGAAATTCTTGCAATATTTATAACCTGAATTGCCCACCAGCATTGCCAAATTCACACAAGCTTTCAGGCTACAAGAGAGAAAAACTAATACCCCCATCTGAAATTCTACACAAAATATGATAGTGGCCACACATTTTGTGCAACAAAGATTTAGTTTCTTATCTTAACTCTATGAAGCCATGACCAGTTAGATGGCTTGCTGATAGAAATTTCATATCTGGAAATGAAGCTCAAGGGTTATTGAAGTAATTTTATCTTCTTCATTTACAGCAAACTAAATCGACAACTTCTCTGCTTGCTGTTGTTCCCATTTTTACAATTATTGTCTTTGATTATGCTAGAATTAGAGATTGGAAGCTGGTAGAAATTAAAACCAGTGTGATATGATGTATCCTGCAATCAAGTGATGTTGAAGCAGAAACAGAACTCAACAGGCCTGAAAGTGGGACCTTAGTATTAGATCTTAATAATGATGACTCTCTACCTGTAAAGGAGGATTCATTTGATGAAGAAAATGGTTCTGATTAGGAAAGCATTCCCTTTACAGTCATCACTGGGTGTATTGATGGGTGTTGTAATCACTTCACAAACACAATTGAGATACTGGTGCCAGAAGTGAAAAGTATAGGTGGAGTCATCAAGTGGTGAAGATCAGCAAGAGATATAATCTCAAGCTGATTGTTCCTATGCATTCAAAAGAGCTGTTTTCTTAAACCAAACTGCTGAGCTCTGGATTATTGAGACTAAAACAGGTATATAAGATCTGTATGACTCTTCCTGATGATTAAACAGCAGCAACTTTGTTTCCAAATAGCTGGGCTGAAAGACCTAGGAAAGGAAAAATGTATGGGTGAAAGAGTATCACAGATTTTGAGAGGATGTCAAGAAATTGTTTGAATATGGTCAGCACAACTCCACTTGCAAGAAAGGTGCAATGCTAGAATATTGTGTAAAAATGAACAGGAAGATATGATCTACCTAGCAAGAGTGAAACCACACAGAGGTCACACAACTGAATAATATTGCTAATACCGTCCTGAGTTCCTCAAAGAGTTACATATATTCAGTATATTCTATATTGTGTTTTTGTAGATGCTGCTACAGTATGTGGTGACAATGAAGTATGCTGATATGCAAAGAGAGGCTTAGGAGGAAACAAGAAGAAGAAGGGTTTCCTTCCAACCAACAGATCAACTCAAAACTAAATCAGCTAAAATGTGTTGCTAAAGGGTGACAGAAAATGGTAATGTTGTTGCCATAGCTGCCCGAGAAAATTGCATGCCCATCATTATCTGATGAGGAATTATTAAAAGTAATTTAAAAAAATACTGTGATATTACTGAGTTTTATTGTTCCTTTTCATGACAATGCATTCACCAATAATGTGTGAAAATGCCATACTGCAGAATATCTAGTCATCACTGTCTTTGTTATGGTTGTTTTTACTCAGAATCACAGACAAATATTTTCCCAGTCAGTTTTAGGAGCTAGTCTGGTGTGTGAGAGTTGAGATAACAGTAGTTGTAGAAAGAAAGAGTAAAAGCAATTTCAAGGACAACAGTAATGGAGGTAGCAGCTTTAGTAGTGTCAGTAGTAATAGCAGTAGCACCAGAGTAGCATCATCACCAACACAGTACAGAAGGGAATCCTACTACAATTTGAGAGAAGTATGTTTGTTTGTCCTCTAGCTTCTCCTATGCTTTTTCATTTGGACATGTCAAATATAGTTTTAATCAACTAAGAATGATTTGGGATGTGTCAAGAAGTTATTTTTCTTTTAAAATGCATAATTACCTATTTTCAATGTTGGCTAAATATACATTAGTCAGTGGGTTTGATCTCTAGGGATAGTGGTGGGATTTCTTCTGTTTCCTCTTTCATTACAGGGGCTATACATAAAGTCTGTGCATTATCGATCATTACTATTTTTATTCATAGCTGGTAAAACATTAATTCTGTAGTTGGTCTCTGCATTGTTTTCTCCCCTTCCTGTCCTTCTATTTTTACATGGCTGTTTGACCAAGGTTTATCACTTTCATCCATTGCTGCCTACATTAGCTCTACCTAATAATTTTGGGTTTTCTCTTCTCTTGCCCTTTTTATGCTCTTTTGTTCTTTTTTGCCACCTTTGTTCTCCTTATCCTGTAGTTCTCCCTAATTAGGACCTGAATGTTACTCTCCTTACCCTTATCCTTCCCTCTTTGAGCCTTTAGTCTCTTGTTCCTTATACCATCTTTCACTTAAAACCTATTTCATACTTATTTTTTTTGACTGTTACTTTAGGAGTTCTTACGTATATACCATTGATGCATCCCATATTATTTTCCATATTTTTATATTCATCATTATCTGGATTGTACTTTTCTTCATAGAATATCTGCAGTTCTTATACGGGACAGAGTATTTACTCCTGTTTCCCTTCTTTCCATATCTCACTTTTATTCTCCTTCTGATCCAGATCATCTTCTCTGTTCCATCTGTGCAGTTCATTCCTAATTGGCCTTCACTGCTTCTTTTTGTGGTTCACTTTCCCATCTAATTATTTCTTACCTCCCTGAGATATTTCTTCTATTACCTTCACATGATGACTACAGCAGCTCATTCATCTAGTCTGTGCTTCATTGGATGTATGTTCATGTCAACTCTTTCAGGTTACCTTTCTCCAAATTCATGCAGACGAGCTCATGCAGATTTGTATGTGGACAACCCACATACTTTCATCACACATTTTCATCATCTGGCCATTTCTTCTTCCTTGGGATATGGACTTGCTCCCATCATAATTCTCCATACACCTCCCCGGTTTTTTTTTCTTTTGTCTTTTACCTTTATATGTGTCCTATTCTACATCTCAGAATCCCACTAAGTGGCATGTGGTGGTTGCCAGGGTATACTTAAATATATATTTGTACCCTGAGAGATGGGATGTTCCACAAGACCACTAGAGGTTTCCTCATAGTATCTTATTTACTAAACAAGGCCCAGTTCAAACCATACCTATTAATGGACTACCATGAGCAAAGCAGTGGTGGGATAGCTGCCAATCCCTCCAGTTCTAGTTGAATAAACCAGGACTGGCATGCTTTTAAAAATAAGGTTTCATGGTCACCCATTGCATTGTCTTATGGTGTTGTGTTCCTCTGGGCTCCCCAGTGTGCTTTCACTCCCCTTTCTTCTAGTGGAGTATGGGAGTTCTTGCCATTTACCAGTTCCTAGTTACTGGGGTAGTGGACTATAGAGACTTCCTCCTGAGTGTAACCAATTCTACTCAGTGGAGAGTAGGGCAGTGGTGTTCTGGTGGTGTAAATGGTGCAGATCCTCCTCCTAATGCAGAATGGATGAAAAATGCCTGATACTGCCTGGTTTTGAACTGCAGTTGACCCATCACATATAGTTTGATGCACACTACACCATTTAGCATGTCCATATCACTTACTTAGTTTTTGGGCTGTGCTTCATTTCCCCAAAACATACTGATGTATATCTTTATTATGAGTAAAGAGTATACCCTAGTACAGATGGGATGCAGTCTTCCATGGGCGTACCCCTATATGTTTCCATTGTATAGGGTGTCACACTCCATGAGTTCCCTTTGGGTACATTCCAAAGAGGGAGCTCATCTAGGTAACTTTTGCACCTGTCTCTCCACCTTTTCAATGTGAGATTCTAGTTATTATGTGAGTGACAGTAATGTATTGTATCAGCAGTTAACATTTTCCAACACTGAAAATGTATCTTCAATAGATGCCTCTGCTCAAACTTCCATCCTCCCAACTTTCGGTGCACCTCTTCTTGCCTAATCTCAAGTGATGGTTGAACAATCGGTATAGAGGGAGCTAGCTGTACTAGGAGGGTGTATCACAGTCTTATTGGTGGAGGGTTGTTGCATGTTACAGTTCAACACTAGCACATGAGAACATGTGAATTTAGGTGGGACCCTCAAGACTATTGGAGAACAAAAAATTGTGCATATAGAGTGCAACATAAAATTGGGAAAGGTATTATGTGAATGGATGTAAGTACCTATCAGAAATATATTTTCAGTGTTGGAAAATGTTAACTTCACATAGAATGTAGGTCATTTTATACTTCAAATGTTGCTATCTGATCAAATAAATTTTTCCAAAATGTTTTAAATGTTTTAAATTTATGTATATAGTCTAATATTGCATCATATTATCATATATTAAAAGTCTGTTATGTTGTTTGATTTCTTATTTAGTTGTATTTGAATTCTAAAGATGTAACTTAATTGTAAACCAAGGCATATTAATACCTAAAATTAATACAACCTTAAAATAGGTAATTAACTCTAGTAAATGGCAAATCCTCGAGGCCTGTACACAGTTGGCATGTAAGCTTTAAATAGTTTAAAAAGTCAGCTTGCATTTGCTTGTCATGCTGCTGCTTTGTAAATTTTCTTGATCATTTCTTTCAGGTTTGTTGACTTAATGTCTTATGTTCCCAGTACTGTAACATTATGAACATTTTAACCAACACAGCTATCTGTTTCAAAAGTTTTGACCTAGAAGGTCAGTGATTTTTTCAGTGTACAAACTAAAAAATCTTCTGAGTAAATGAAAGAAAATTGTATAGTAATATTTTGACCAGACTGTGTCTGCAATAACCAATTAACATGGCTATTCAGGCTGGCTGGGATATGGCTAACACAGTAGTGGTTGAGACATTGTTTTTATTAGCAAACCACTTTACAACAACTGTTACAGTGTGAACTGGATGAAGTTAGGGAAGTGTAACTTTTCATCAGTTTTATTTATTTCACAACAATTCAGAATTAAGATAAGGATTTCTTAGGACTATTATTCTTTTTTAACATATTTCTTTTTTTATTGAAATAAAGTGATCATTGTTCAGAAGTTGTAGAGTTACTTTCCACAAGATTTTGTAAGTGTGTATATGTACATATGGTTGTTTTATCAAAACTAGAAAAATAATACTAAAACATATCTTTTATTTCTCATTAATGCAAGTTAGATTTTATGCTGAAAAATGGAAAATGCGAGCTGTGAGGGAAAAGAATAAAATGAATGAGCAATCAGAAATCGAAGGAAAACAAGCTCCAATAGAATCCTGGGGAAATATTGTGAAAAAGAATGTTCATCTTTTCTTCCGTAATGATGATTACTCTGAGATCTTAGCAGAAGTAAGTTCCTTGAGCATTTAATGTGATACAGTATGGTTACAAAGAAAACCCTACATTTAAAGTTATTATATCTTAGAAATCATGTTTCTCCACAGGCATGTTAAAAAATCATAAGTCCAAATCAGATATACTTTCTACTGTGAATTGAAAGTCTTGTTGAGTGTGAATCCATGCTCTTAACAAATGTAACAAAACAATTCTGAATGTCTTGGGGGTGGGTGGGGGCTACTCTCATCTCTTTGTGGAACTAAGAAAACTGGTGATTGGAAAATGTCTTTGATCTTTATTGTCTCATTTATTATCTAAATATTTCTCTTTTGATGATCGAACCTATAAGGATCTCATAAAAGTTCCTTTGTCAAGGTTTGGTTGACAGATGGAGTTTTAAAAACCCTTATTTACATTTCCTCACTCATCCATCTTTGATTTTTACTTTGTGGAGGGGGAGTGGGGATTATCTTCAGAAATTATTCTCACCTCCCTGCACCATAAATAGCTATTACCCTTTGCACACTGCTGTGTAAATTCCTGCACATACTACAAGCCTAGAACAAAGCTCTCACTTCTATGTGTTTCATTGTGTATTGTGCTGGTTCATGATCTAATAGGAGGGCAAAATGCATAGTGATCCTCATGAGCTCCTGTACACAAGCTCATTCTTTCCTCTGCATGTCCTCAAGCATTTTTTTTTTCATAAAATTTACTGTAACTTTTTGTATATTGTTTTCTTCTTTCATTACTGTTCGCCATGTTTTGTTTTATTTGATTTTCTTGATTTAGTTAGAACTTTCAATTATCTTCAGCTTGATTTTCTTTTTTACCCTCTCCCTAATGGTAGGTCAAATTACACATCACAACTTTTGAGACTTGCATTCGAAACTTAATTAAACTGCTTTATTATCATTGTATACAAATAATCATATCATCAAAACATAGTCAGTGAATCAACTTTTAATATTATATAAGTTTTTCTTTATATAATGAAATATTTACAAAAATCCTCAATCTCCCCTAATATGAGAATTGTGACATTTGTTCACTAGTCTTCCCTCTTCTCTAATTTATTTACCACAACTATAAGAAGTACAGAATTTAACATACATTTCTCATTATAATAAAGATATTGCTAAGGCAAAGTCTAACTTTTCTAGCCTTCAATCTTATTTGTGTATGGAGCCATAAATTACAAAATCACACCCACCTGCTACATCCTCTTTTTTACAAATTGCCAATAGTTCTCTCCCTCTAGTGTTTTATACTGTATTATTTATAACCACTAGAAAGCCAAAGTTTTATTCTGTCAAGTAATGTATTATATTATGTTGTTTTCTATACAGAGGATTGTCTATTTCACCTTCAATTTGTTCTTCATATGTATTATTTATATATTATTATAAAAGTAAATAAAATGTAAAAGTTAAAAATTTTTTTAGGTTAGATTAGGTAAGGTAATGAAAAATTATGATAAAAATTCTTCATGAGATGCTCGTGAACAGCTTGTGCATTACATAATTTGATACAGTTTACCAAGTTATTTACAACTTGTGTGGTGGGTTTACTAGTTAGACACTGTTCAAAGGCAATAAAACAATAAAATTAGGTATAAACAGATGTATACTATTAAGAGCTTTAGGCTATTAGGATAAAAAAATTGTTGTTTCATATTACAGTTTGCACTCATTTTAGAAAGAAGAGAGGTAATTTAGATTTATTATTTATTATGGTAGTTACAAGGTTGGTCAAATTAACCTAATGGATATAGAGGCAGGGTAGAGAAAATAACAGATAAAATATATTTTACTGAAAAAAAAACATTTATTATTTATTTACAAAGTTTTAGAGATCATGCAAATGAAATTTTGCAATTTTCAGATAAAGAAAGTATTTTCAATTCTAACATGAAAATCACTTTGCACTCAGAATAGTCAACACTCTGACTTCATGTATTCACAAACAAATTATAAAATCAGATTTTTTGTGTACAAAAGACTTGTATTATTTACTAAAAGCTTGCCATATTAAAAGTTACAGTATGGAATCTCTGGTGGGCACTTTGGGATTTCAAACTTGGTTACTTCGACTGAGCCCATAGCAAGAGGGTTAATTGACCTCGTACTTTGAGGAACACGTGTCACGTGTCTGCTTGCATTGTTTAATCCATCATATGAGTTTCCTCCAGTATCCTTCAAGGTTACTGTTAGGCCCATGCACCATCACTATATGTGGTTTATTTTCTTCGTGACTGATAACATAAACAAACAAAAGGACCATCACCACATTAGTTTTGTGTTTTATGCATTCATGTTCCCATGTTTATGAAACAGACAGTAATATAACCAATATTTTGCACCATGTGATTGGCTCCAATCTGATCTTGGAGCCACGATTTCTGACCTCTCACCCTCCTCATCTTGTGTTTCTCCACTGTTGTTTCTATGCATACTTTTACATCTCATTTCCTCTTCCTGATGTGAATTAGGTAGTATTACTTTTGTTTTTCATTGCTTGAATTCCACAGATATTTGTTTATTGTTTTATCTTTCTCCAGTGATTTTTTTTCTTGAATCTCAGGCTCCCTTGTTGCATGAACCCCCTTTACCTGATTCTTTTCTTCAGTTTAGAGATCAACTTTTTTTTCCTGTACACACCTTCATCTATTACCCAATTTTTTTTTCATTCATTCCCATCCTTCATCTTCATTTGCACGCTTTCCATCATGACCTTGCACATACCCATTTTCCACTTTGTCCTCAGTTTTCTTCCATTCATCCAAGTTACATTAATTTCTTTGTTTCTAGAGTATTGTTTGTCAGGTTATCTTACTTATTGACTTTCATTTCCCCTAATTCTCTCTCTAGAACCCCCTGTCTTACTTCTTTTCTTCAGTTTTTAGGTTCTTGGTAGTATTTTTTAAATCTTGCTGTTCGTGTTGATGCATCTCTGCTCCATTTGGTGTCTTGCCCTTTGGACCAGAGGACCACAATAGGTTTTTCATCATATGTGGCCTCATTGGTCCCTCCTCCTGTTCTTTTTTCTGTTGTTTCTGTCTACTGTTTGCCCTCTTTGCTAGCCATCATAGGTCTTTGAGATGATTCGTTTCTGGTGCCACCCCTTGTCTCCAGTCCTGTAGGAGCTTTGTTCGCCCACTTATTTCTCTGATGGACCCCCTTTGCTATGCCTATTCGGTTCCTCAAGACTTCCTCAGGGGTCTTCTTTTACTTCTACTCTCCACCTCACCTGTTTCAATTTCCTTGAGATAATTCCTCAACCCCACTCTGGGGTTATACAGACATCCTTTTATTGTCCCCACAAAGATGGAAAATTGTTGGCCAAATGTCATCCTATCTCACTTGACGAAACTATGTTTTTTTTTCCTCAGTTCCTGATGGGCAGTTTCCTACTTTACAGTGGATACTCTTCCTGGTGGTGGATGACCAATTCAGGGTCTCAAACATTTCCTCTACATCACTATTTGTTTGCTCACATTTTGTATTATTTGGTTTCTCCTCAATGATCAAATATTTGGTTTTCAGTCCTTCCCTTTGTGTTGGCTCTAACCCCTCCTTTTTTTCATTGTTTCATTACTTACACCAGAAGGAGATTTCACCTACATTGGTTTTTGTCTCCTTCCAGTTGCCAATCTTCACTCATCACAGTGGCTCTAATTTGAGTTATTTTTGTACTTTCTTTTTCCTGGTCTCATAATCACCTTATTCAACATTCTGTACTTTGGAGATCGTAGAACACATTGTGTGACCAGTGTTGCCTCACAGGGAATACTTATTGAAAATCCACATAAAGTGGGGGAGCATGGAAAGTGTTAAGCCCATCTGCCCCTTCTCATTGCCTGATGTTGTACTGTTGAGATGAGGTTTTCCACTAGACTATCCAGTGATGTCTACGTGTGTGTGTGTGTGTGTGTGTTTGTGTCTATATATATATTTATAAATAAAATCTTCGAGGCTATTCTCCACTTGACAAAAATATGAAAGTCAGCACTAGGTATGGGTCTGCCCACAAACCTGGCTTTTGCCTGCTGTCTTTAGTCGTGGTAACCCATTGCACTGTCTCTCATTGTAATACCTAATTCCAGATGAATGTGCCTGATGACAATGATTCATGTACCTCTCTCATGTTCTCCCCCATGCAAGTTCCACCCTCTTCAATTCTTCTAGTGGAGTATAGGAGAACCCTTGTTTCCCAGTCCCAAGCTCTTAGGAAGTCAATATGGAGAGTTTCTCATTGGGCAGTACAATACCAATGTTAGAAGACTGAGTGGACTCACACACCTTGCTTGGAAAGTAGGATTGGGGTGTTACCTGTAGTGTACTACAGGTACCCACTATTTTATGAAGTAAGTCATTGCAAGTGGTTATGGCCAGCTGGATGAGTCATGGGTTCACTTTGGGACACAGATCTCAGATGCTACCCCTGGCATCTAATTTTTGTGGTATTTCATGTAGGTATTCCTCCAACATGGAATAGCCTGACAATATAGGCCTAGCCACACTAAACACTTGTGCTCAGCTGTTTTCCAGTGAGATTATGTACAGTTGAATAATCTGCCATTTCATCCACTCTAATGACATGTTAGCACTCAGCAAAAGATTCTTATGACAATATCTTTTTTTCTTCAACCTCTACTTGGCGAAGAGTATTCCTTGCTTGAAATGGATATAGTTTCCCACTGAGTGCTGCCTCCCACCTCATACATGTCACACTCCATGGGCTTTCACTATTTTCATAGAGGAGCTCATCTTTCTAATTTCTCTGCCCCTCCACCATCTTCAGTGTAAGATTCCAGCTCTTTGTGGTGCAGAGAAGTGAGTAGTGTTATTGAAGTTAACATTTTCATTATCTGGAAATATATTTTAGATAGATACCTCCCCATTTTTGACGCTTCATCAAAAATAACATGTTTTCACACACTAGTTCTCCCAAGGATTACTTGCATAGAGAGCTATAGTCTAATGATTATTACATTGTATACTGTGCAATACACATTGACACATGTAAGGAAGTGGAAACTTTGTTCAAGGCTTCTGGCATGTGCAGGTACTTACATGGCAGTGCTCATGAGGTAATAGCTCTTTGTGGTAAATGAAAGGTTAACTTTAGAGTCTGCAATATTTTCTGATATCCCATTCTAAAATCATTCTTTTATAGATTTAGGCTGTCCCAAATGAGTGTCAGGAGCTCCTGCTCCTGTTACTCTACTGAGGTGTTATAGTACTCACTAAAACTTTGTTGTGCTATATTTCAAAAGGCATGGTTGGACTTGATCTCACTGGCTTTATTTGCTGCAGTTTCTCTACTGTTTTGGCTACATTCGCATCATGTCACTCTCTGAATTGGTATTTCGGTCATCCTGTGCTTGGTGCCTTAGTGATAGCAGTGCACATTTTCTGATACTTTACTGGTTTGAAGCTCTAAGTCCATCTTCTATGACAGTGGACACTTTGAGTCTTTTTGGAAACATTTGTTTCTCTTTACTTACCTACTTTATCTTCATTCTCAAATATTGGCTAAGATAAGATCAGTTAATCCCATTGTCCAGTTCTTATTGCCTCATGCTGACTTGCTTTATAATGATTTAAATTCTTTTAGTCTGTCTCAGAGAAATCCTATTCCATTACTTTTGGTAAATTTTCCATGATGACAATTTTTCTTATATGATGTTACCTAGTCTGACTGACCTCAATTTTATTTCTGATGAATGTGTTTTTTATGACCAATAAGGCTGTTTGATCCTGATGTGAAAGAATGGAATATTTTCAAGGGGATCAACATTAGTTGTTTATATTTTACAATGCTTTATGTTCTACGGGTCTTACTTCACTCCAATGAATTTGTTTGCACATCTGGTCCATCTTGTTTATCAAGTTATTCCTGTCTACTTTAAGTGGATTTCAGGTTACATCACATATTTAGCATTTGGCTACCTAAGTGTTAGGCCTCCTGGTCTCTATATCATGTAGTAGACATCATTTGGCATTTTGGTTGTTCTTCAGACTCAATGGAATCTGTTTCTTGTGAGTTTTGTATTTCCTGCCTAATAGCCATTATTAACTGTTTCCAGGGTGTCTGGAATTGTGAATAATTTTGACTTCAAAACAAATAGTACAAAACAAGGAAAGTATAATAATTAAGTACCGCCTCATCTTATGTATTGAGAACCCATATTTATATCAATTCGTCCAGTCACATTTTCTTTAATTTCTGCATTTTTCATAGGCAACCCAAGTATTTCTGTATCACCTAAAACCCCTGTTTACAAATCAATGGGTATCTGCAGTTTAGGAATTATTTCATTATATATAATGGAATAATATGAATTAAGTATGTGCTTTTATAATTGTATAGCTGAGTTGTTCCCCCAGGAATCTACCACTGCAGTAGTAGGGCATAGTATTTCTCCTTTCTATTTATGCCACTATTGTTGGCTCCACAGGTTCAACCTAACATCACTCCTTTGATTAAATTAATGGGTGTCATGGGTGATGAGTTACTCTGCTGAAAATAATGCTTTCTTTATGAGTGTCTTTTAGATCCTGTCTTTTTATAAAGCTTGTCAATTCCACTCATTTTTCCTCAAATCTGCAAACTATTTTCTTGTTCTGGATTGTGCTTCAACTTTGTTTGTCTACATATTTCTTGTAGTCTAGATTATTTTCCTATATTGTAACTTTTAATTTGATACTTTTCATGTTCATTTGTTCTCATCTCCTTTACAGTGTGAGTATTCTGAACTTAAAAATTTCAAATGGTGAGTCTACCTGATTTGAATTCTACATTTTTGTAATTAAAATGAATTAGATTTTTTTTTCTGAAAAACCTTCCCTTCAATCTCCCCACAAATGAATTGTCATCATGGTTGCAATTTTCTGTAAAATCTAAATTATGGTGTGAAAGCAGACCTTATGTAAGTAGCTATTGCCAAGTTCTGATCGAGTAGCTAATTTTAAAACATTTATAAATGTCTTGGTTATAAAGCCAGTTAAAGTATAATAGTTATAGGAAATTGTTTGCTTTATGAGTATTATTATTTTGTGTTCTAAGTGCATGAAATAAATAAACATTGTTTAACATACTATTACCATCATTACAAATAAAGTAGGCTGACAACCAAAACACAACAGGCCAAATGAAAGTACTTGTTTTTTATGTATATTAGTTATTTGTTGTTATAAAAGTAACTAAAATGTCAAAATTAAAAACTTATTATATTAGATAAGGTAAGGTAATGAAAAGATCTAACAAAAAAAATTTCTCCACAAGGTATGCTCATGTGTGTAATTTACGCTTTACGTAATTTGATACCCTTTGATACTTTAGCTATGTATTTGCCGAGTTATTTATTATTAGTTAGACACACTTCAAAGGACAATAAAATTAAGTATAAACAATGTAGACTGTTATGACCATAAGTTATTTAGGTTAAATTATTGTAGTTTTCTTTTACAATCCCCAGTCATTCTAGAAAGAAAGTTATTTTAGATTAATTTTGGATTTTTTCTTTTTTTTTTGTAGTGGCTTTAAGGTCAGTCAAATCAACCAGTTGTGTGTATAATTAGGGTATAGAGAATAATAGATGAAATATAGTTTTACCGAAAAAGAAACATTTGATATTCATTTAGGAGATTTCAGGGATTATGCAAATGAAATTTGAAAACTGTAAGATGAAAAAAAGTATTTTTAATCTTAACATGAAAACCACTTTGCTCTTGGACTAATCAACACTTTGACTCTATATACTCATGGTTGGATCTTTAAAAAGCATCTGGTTTTTTGTGTACAAAATGCTTACAGTGTTTACTAACAGCTTTCCAAATTTCATGAACATACAAATACCACATTATAAGTTATAGTATGGATACTTTCATAGTTTCCTGGTGGTTACAGGGTTGGTCAAAATTACCAAACCTATATCAGGAGAGCTAATGAAAATCTTAATGTTTTAGCACGAGTAGTTATGCATTATGAACCAGTTTTCAGTTTCCATAAAGAAAATCCTTACTCTATTATAATTACATTAAAGCAACAGTAGCAAATGTTGCATTATGATAACTTGAAGTTCTCAAAAATAGCTAAAAGAAATTAGATATTTTCCACAGCTACATTCTAATAAATATCTTGACAAGTGCTTTTTATTTGTCATATTAGTTTTCTTTTTATAATTAATTTGTAATACAAATACACTCATCTTTCATAGTTTGATATAACTTTTTCCCACCAGCCATAATGCTATATATCTGGTGGCCTCCTCTTTTTACTATTACATTTCACTTTCAATTTATCAAAAAATTTAACAATAGTTTCAGTAAAAGTTCATGTTATACATGTGTGTTCTCATAGATAAACATATTACAAAGTTATTGTATATTTGTTTTATATTCTGTAGGTGCTTAAAGCTGCAAAGACTGAAGAATATCATGAAACACCAAAAAAAGAAAGTGAACCAGACTTTCAGAGACTGTACAGTTACTTAGTAAATCTTCTGGAGGGTGATATTCCACCTGACTTACCACCTGCAGAGAGTGAAGTTATAATTTTGCTTCTTAAAGATCTTGCTCAAGTGGTAAAATATCCTCTTTTTCAGGAAGAAAAGGAATTCCTTAGGAGTAAGTTATATAGTAAATTAGGAGATATAGATGTTGTATGAAGAGTTATTATTATTTTTTGGAAATCCTGATTTGTGAAAAATTTAAATGCACTGCTAAAAGAAATACTTTTAAAGCTTACACTTATCAGGCAGTTGGACTGAACTGATATTGTAGAATTTTTATATGCAATAATTGCAAATATACTTTGTGTATCTTTACAAAATTTGATAAGCTTTTAGTTTTTTTTTACAAATAATATGGTGTACACAGACAATCAGAACTTGCTTATAGAATATTTTTCTAAAGATTTGCGTGTGATGTTACCAATTTAGCCTGATTCAGACACTGACTAGTTTTGAGGGCAAAGTAAATTTCATGTTAAGAATAAAAATGAGTTTTTCGATTTGATTACTTGCCTCCTTTCACAGTTACAGCTACTCTTCACTTGACTGCCCTCTAGTGTGCAACTTTTAGCTCACCACTAGTCTTGAACACTCACCTAATTTTATGTGTGTACTATGTGGTTCAGTTGCATTTAAGCATGTAAATTAGCATGCAACAACTCCATCAATAGGAGTGTGACTCACCCTCCTATTGCAGCTTACTCCGTCTATGCAGTTGAACTTGACATTCATTTCTTGATTTGGCACAACAGTTTTAACCCTATGATATGTTGACCTACTTACATTATGAGTAGGTACGTAACACTTATGAAAGTTCTTTACAAAAATGAAATTGTTTTCAATTTGACATGAATGGCCCTAAAAGTATAGTTTCAGAAAATAAGATATCTAATTCTGATTTTTTCTACTATTTGTAATAAAACATTCGTTATTTAATGTAGTTACTTGCATTCGGTCTCTTCTGGTTTCTACACCTGTGGTGAATGGTTGAAGACCCTCCTACTGTCCAATTCCTCCTGATGCCACTAATTTGGACTGGTGTTGACCTCCTGATTATGATCCAACGAGCTTTTCTCACTCTACATACTTTCCTCTTCCTTTTGGATTAGGGATGAATCACTTGTTTCGTCATTTGATTGAGACACAACACCAGTTGGCTCCACTTGGGTGAAGAGTATACCTGATTCAGATGTTGTGAGGTCTCTCATGGGTGTACCACCTCTACACAGAAGTGGCACACTTCAGGAGAACTCTTCAGATGCTTTTGAAGGGTACTCATCTAGGTAGTTTTCAAATTGCAAATATATTTTCAATAGATACCTGCTTCTGCCCATCCTCCCCACTTCCGGTGTTACTTTTTGTGCCTAATCTTGAAGTGAAGATTTGTCACAACTCCATAGAGGGAGTCAGCTGTAATAGGAGGGTGTGTTGCACTTCTACTGGTGAAGGGTTGTCACGTGCTAATTTACGTGCTTAAACACAGCTGAACCACATGGTATACATGTGGAATTAGGTAGGATTTCATGGCTAGTGGTGAGTGAAAATTTGTGCTCTAGAGGACAGTCAAATCTAGAATAGCTGTAACTTTGCGAGAAGAGTAGGTATCTATCAAAAAATATTTTTGTCTAAAAAGATATTAACTTTCATCTTACAGATCTCGTGTTTTGTTTGCATAATTTCTTGAACCTCTTAAATGAATATGGAAAGATTTTTTTCTGTAATATTTCATAATATATTTTTTATTTTCTTTACACTAGCTGTAGTGAAGTGAGGAATGCAGGGTAAAATTAAAAGTTGAAAAATATAAAATAAAGCTAAATTACCCATTTTTTCTTTCTAGAATGACTGCATATTGTAAGAGAAAATTATACTATTTATTTTTACAACCAAAGCTGATACTTTTCAAATCTCCTGGTCATTTAAGAGTGGAGAATAGCTCAGATACTTCAGTAGGGATTTTATTCTAGTTTAATTTGTCTTCTTTGCTACTAATATTACCTCATTAATTTGTGCTTTTACTACCATAATGAGACTGTCATGCCAACTTCAGAAGGTAGGTTTTTTTATATCTCACCAGGCCTATGCCCTGGTGACTTTGTTTTGGTTGTGCAGAATTGTACTTGTGTTAAGGCTTGTTTCATATCATAGATATATTTTAGTTTTTTCAGTTTGCCCCTAAAAAAAGAAAAGTCCACCTTTTGAAAACTCTTGTGTTATACAGGATTGTATCTCTGTGTTAACTTAATTTCTTGAACTTGTGTTTTTCTAACATCATATTTTATTCATTAATATATATTTTTAACAAAAGTAACTGAAATGTAAAAATAAAAACTTGTTACATGGGATAAAACTGAAATAAAAAGAAATATATTTTTTAGCTTCTACTAAACTATGAGAAACATAAAAATATTGTAATGCATCCTATTATTCTTGTTGTCTTAAACTCTCATCACGCCTACTGAGGGATTTAATACTATTCACAGAAGTTGCTGTTCAAAGAGCAGTAAAATTAAATTAAAGTAGTTGTGAGAAGTTATGAGGCCCAAAGCATTTAATATGTATAATTAAAGTTGTCTGCTAGAATATGCAGTCACTAGTAAAAAATTATTTTTGATTTTATTTAATATTTTTCAACTTTTCCTACAGATGATTTCAACACTAGGTCAAAAAGATAGCTGTACTTGTATTTCAACACTAAGTCAGAAAGCGAACTATGCATACATATCAACACTAGATCAGAAAGCTAGCTATTCATCCATATCAATACTTGGTCAGAAAGCTAACTATGCATACATATCAACACCAGATCAGAAAGCTAACTTTACATACATATCAACACCGGGTCAGAAAGCTAATTATGCCTAAACATCAGTTAAGAAGACTTTTGTATAACTAGTTGTCATCTAGTTAGGGTCATAAATAATTTACAGGGTTGTCACTAGGGTTCCACATGAAGGGTCATAGACTCTCAACTTTTTTTTTTCAAGGGTAGAATTTAATATACTAAAAAAAAAAGCAAAAACACTCCAGTGTCAATGAAATACTGTATTTACAATGTACACTGCATGTTTACCTTCTGCAAGTGGAAAGAGCATGTTAATGTTCAATGAAAAACCCCTAAAACCTCCTAAATATAGATATATTTCTTTTAGAAAAAGTAAAATTTTTTTGTGTTATTTTCTCTACCCCTAACTCTATGTGAGGTTGGTTGATTTGACCAACCTTGTAATCACCATAAAACAAGTAGAAAATAATAAATCTTCCCTATTTTTTTTCTGGAATGACTGCAAATTGTAACATAAAACCACAACTGTTTATCTTAAGTAGCTTAAAGCTTGTAAGGGTATACATCTATTTATAATTAACTTTTATTGTTATATTGCCCTTTGAACCATGTCTGACTACTATTTGTGCCAAATAAATTGGAAATCACATGGCAAACGTGCAGCTCACATTACGGTATCGAATTACATAATGCACAGACTACCTGTGAGCATACTTCATAAAAAAAGGTTATTATTATTAATATTATTTATAATAATAAATAAAGAAAACACATGAAAAAAAAATGATAAAGTACTTTTGATGTTTTTTTTTCTTTTCTCTTGACTGTTAATGAAATTTAACCCTACTTTTTCATACTAATTGTACTACTGCATTGAATAATTTCTATTTAATCAAATAATGCACCAAAGAACACAGAATAATAACATGCAAGAAACAAACAATGTTTCATAACTATCATAATTTTTCAGCCTTTCTAATTGTGCAAAAAAGCCATTAAAAATTCAGCATAAAGTGGGAATAAAGTTTTAACTGGAAAGAAAATGAACAATTCTCTCTACAGACAACAACATAATATATTATGTCATTTGATAGAGAAAAACTTTGGCTTTGTATTGGTTATATATAATATGGTCTTGAATGTCAGAGAGAATTACTGGAAAGTTCTGAAAGGGAGAATGTGAGAGATGGGCAAGGAAACGGGATTTGATTTTCTATTTTATTGCTTTTAACTAAATAAGATTGAAGGCTATATAAATTATTCTATGACTGAATGTTGAATACATTGTAATGAGTAATTTACATAAAATTTCATACTTCTCAGAAGGGTGGTAAAACATTTGAGAAGAAGGAAGGTATAGATAACAAACGTCACAGTTCTCATACTAGGGGAGATTGAGATTTTTTTAAATATTTCCTTATAAAATTAAGAACTTAAAACTTAAGTAAAACTAAGCTTTGATTTATTATCAACATTCCGATGCCAGGTTTATTCATATACATTTATAATAAAGTTTATTTTAATTTTGAATGTAACTATTAAAGATTGTGACATGCACACTTTGACCTACCCAAGGTGAATAGGTTATTCATGTGGTACTTTCACATGGCTTTATTTTAGTGCAATTTATTGTCATTGATGAAACCCATTAGAAGTTGGTTGTGGACAGCTGTGTGCAAACTGTTCGCTGTTTAGTTTGTTGTGGTACAAAGTTCAAAGCAAAGTGCTTGTGCTTGCCTAGTGTATGGGGTGTTTTGCGGTGTGTATTCAGTATTCAGGGGATCAAATCTCATTGGTCTCAACAAATTCTTGTTTGTACGGGACCCAGGAGTTTGGATTAACTAGAACCCTGATTTAAGAATTCACAAAAGTATTAAAAAAAGCACATGAAGTTTTCAGTTTTTAGTACATTTTAATATTTTTGTTTGTGTTCTTGAAAATAAAATATGAAGAAGCAGGGATTTTAAATTGCTGATAACAGTAAAACTTCAGTAAGTAATTTTGTATTTTATTAGCTTTTAACACAGAAGAACAGGAGAAGTTTACAACAGGCCAGACTAAAAGACAAGAACAACAAGAAGTTTCCAGTAGTCCAAATCATATTCAAAATGTAAGCTGTTCCTCAGGAGGAAGCAGTAGGCATAAGAGATCCTTAAAGTTGCTACCAAATACAATTAAAAGCCTAAAAGTGCAAAATTGTTTCAATCCTCTGAAGATTCCTGTTTCCTTACCAGAAAAGGAAATGGAATTTATTAAGAAATGGAGAATCAACTTTTAATCAGTTCATGCTTTTTTGTTCACTTATGTAAAGATTACTATGTCAGGAAATTAGTATTTATCCTGGAAATACTACAGCATTTTTATACTTTTAAGTTTAAATGTAGTCCAGATAAAATAATAGCTTATTTTAGGTATACTGAATGTTTTGTGTTATTAAATAAGATCGTGTTCAGTGTAGTATTGTGGAAACATTATGTTGTTGTCATATTGATAAACATATAAAGCTGATGATATAGAAAAACTAATAATAAAATATGCTGTTAAAATATGTACTCATGCTTAGTTTTCTTTTATCACAGTAGAACTGTTTTGAATGTTTAATTAGGTAAAGCATTTTGCTTTAATTGAATTTGTTTTACAAAATAAAAAAGTGAGCAGTTGAAGATTTATGGTTATAACTAGTTACCATATTAATTATTATATTAGTTACTGGTAAGTGTTTTCTTCATGATATATAATGTAAGATAATACGCTTTCAAGTACAGGTTACACAAAGCTGTAAGATATGTGTATCACTACTGAAGTATTATATCAAAAAATTATCAGTATTTGTTTCATCTAGATAAATATTTGTACATACATATATCCAACATAATGTACAGCCCTGGAAATACAGTAACAGTAAAAAGCGTGTTTACCAATGTCACAGCAATGTGCTATTTAACCCTCTACTAGACAACAACAACATATATATGCTAGTATAATACTAGTTCTACATTATAAGTCTATCATCAAATATTGTATTTGATCATATATGCTGTTCATCTTTAAATTTATTGGTGATCTATTCATTTGAATTTTATTCCAAATTACCCCTCAAGGGAACATTTATGAAAAATTACTGAATATTTGTGTAACAATTTTAACTGATAGGGAACATTACACAAGTAACCACACATGATTGAATATGTATCTCTCTGCAGATTATACAGATATTTTTGAGAAAGTACGTTTAATTCTGGTGAGAGTGATGTATAACTACTCTTTTGGATAATGGTTTCTATTTATTCTCCTAGTAGAGGAGATTTCACAGGTAAAGAAATATGAAGTATAAATACTGGAATAAAAGTTTTGGACAAAGCAAAGTCATTGCAAAAAAACAGCAGCTACTATTATACACTTATTTGTATGTTCTGAGGAAATAAATTTTAAAAATTAATTTTGAATAGTTTCGAGTTCAAAATAGTTACATAAATCTGGATTTGAAGAAAATATTATTGTAATCGTATGTTCAAAATTTTCTTACCTTGTATCTTTTAAGTAAAGACATACAAAAAGTTTCACAAAAAAAAGCAAGAAACTTGATCTCCAGATGGTTTTTGTAAATTATTGTAATAAGTTTCAAACAGTAATTGAGTGTAATTTTTTGGATTGCATTTTTTGGAAAAGAGGGTACAATATTATAAAGAAGGTAAAGTCAAATAATTTCATGTTAAAAACTATAGCATCTATAAAAAAAAAATATATACACAAAAATAACCTTAAACATTCTTTGATTTGATATCCCAACTGTGGGGAAAAGCATTTTTTTTTACACCAGTGTCTATAAAATGATAGTGTGAGGGTTGTTTAGTTAAATGAGGGGAGTAACTAATTAATCTCAAACGAATATATCAAAATTTATATGTTTTATGAAGTTCATCTGGCAGCATTTTAAAACAGATGTGAAGAAACAAAAGTTTTTACCTGGAAGAAAAATATATCTGACAACAGGTAAAACAGTCTATTCAGAGCTCAATCTGCAAGCTCTTTTAAAAGCATACAGGGGGATTTGGGACTAAGGTTGTAGTACATTAAACAGTGAGGACAGAGAAGCAAAGAAATGGGATTTGTAACACTTCAGCGCTATCAGTCATAAATAATAGGAGGCTCTCTTGTATTACTAAGGCTTTCTTAATGAGTTAAGTTTCTCAGGGTTGCAGTTTATCTTTAAACCATTCACTGACTGGAAAGACTCCTTCTCTGTTGATTCTTTGCATTAATTGAGTTGCTAGAGTTTTCAAGTCAATTTGCTCAACCCAAAACTGGTAATTCCAGAGAATTGACTAATGGCTTACTTTACAGTAATTTTTATGGAAACCCACTATGATAAGCTGTATTATGACCCAGCTGCCAATTAGCCTATTTCTGAACTTTGCATAAAGTAATGGCATTCAAACCTGGGTAAAATCCATAAGTGACTGTGGATAGAGTAAAGCTGGCAGAAGGTCAAATAAATTACAGAGAGTGTGTCTGTTTTAGGTACTTATGAAAATATAAAACCTATTGAGAAATTCTTGGCTCATTAAATTTCTGAGCAAATTAAATAGACAGTCATAACTTAGCAAGATATTCCACTTGGTCATGAACTAGATAAAGTAGCTGCTGTGCATAAACAACCAACACCAACCCTTCATCCCTTATAAAATTATCTTATCTAGTGCTGGGTATTGGAGTTATGCAATTTGTCAGTTTTGATGCCACCCAAATTATCTTTCACGAAGGAATTGGGCAACTTGTGTGTTCTGCTGGAAATGATCTGCCCACCACAACTGTGATGTAGCCTAGTGTAAGGTGACCTAAAAGCAGAGGACATTTTAGTATCTAACTGGCACCAAGACACACACAATCACGGGCTTGGGTGGCAAAAAAAGAAAACCATCAAGATGGGGAAATTAACCACTGATAGCCAAGCTGACCCAGTGTACTTTTGACAAAGATTTACAGCAGAAAAGTGACATTTTTGGTACTGTTTTATCTATCAACGCATTAGGCTGTCCTGCACTGTGTAAGTGGAAGGATAAACAAGTGAAATTGATTTTCATCCACCTCCATGTTCTTACTATGGATATAGCTATACATGGATGTCCTGTACATGAAAAATGTAGATATCTCGTGTACCACATCTGGAGTTAGATGTATAGATGCACAAACATCACTGCTTAAGAGAAATAATCAAACCAAAGGGCAACATTGGTATGAGCAGAGTTGGAGGAGGGTGCATTTTATAGATGAATCTAAATTTAAGTTGTTTGGTAATAATCAGGGGTTACAAAACAAGCTTTCTCGTTTCTCCTTGCATCTTGTGGAAAACTGGCATGTTGATTTGGACACATGGCAGAATGTTTTGTAGTGATAAAGCCATACCTGACCAGTATACAATCCATATAAAGGTTAAATTTTTTTGTGGTATACTGGTGTTAGCACATTACTTCATTGTGTACAACATTCACCTTGGTGTTTTTCTCGACTATCTAGGTGCTTAAATTAACCTATTAACCTTATGGCTGTAGCCATCATAAAGCCCTTCAAAACTTTTTTGGGATCAGATGTGATCTAGTAGATAGTATTACAGAACTATTAATCCATAGGTTCATAGTTCCATTAGTGCAAAAATGTACTTCTTACTAGGGTTGTGTATGCATAGTAAAAGCTGATGGTTATTCTGCTAAGTATGGGCTGTTGACTAGTTGTTGTTTGTATTATATAATTTCAAAATTGAGACAGTTATGTGCAGATAGCCACCTGCTGCTTTACTCAAAAGTTAAAAAAACTCACAACATGTTCTATACCATTTTTGTAACCTTATGTAACTGACAGAACAATAATAAATTGTCCATACTGTTGCTGTAATTTAGTTAGACATATGCTTCATCCTATGTGGGCCCAGCATGGCCAGGTGGTTAGAGCACTCGCAATCTGAGAGTCGCGGGTTCGAAACCCCGTCACGCCAAACGTGCTCGCCCTTTCAGCCGTGGGGGCGTTATAATGTGAGGGTCAATCCCACTATTCGTTGGTAAAAGAGTTGACGGTAGGTGGTTATGACTAGCTGCCTTCCCTCTAGTCTTTGCTAAATTATGGACGGCTAGTGCAGATAGTCCTCGTGTAGCCTTGCGCGAAATTCAAAACAAACAAACATCCTATGTGATGACATACTTCCACTTGCTACATTCCATATACTGCTGCTTTCAATTGTGCAGCATAATAAAAACGCCAAGGTTTAAACACACAAAAATAAAGAACACCACTAGCTAGGAGAAGAACGAGATAGCCAGTAGAGTTTAAAAGGTTAGAGCAATTGGAATTGATCTGAAGGTCCGTCAGGTGGTTAGTTTGTAACCACTCAGTCACAATCATGATCTTCACTGAAACTACCTCTACAGACAAAGTAATAAGCAATTAGTTTTTCAAGTGATATTTCTTTGAGCTTCACTTGCACTCACTCCCTATGGTCTTCAGGCGTCATTTGGGGCTCTGCTTGACCAATATATGTAATTTGCTGTCCCTTGTTATCATTCCTGTGTCCAACACAGCTTACGCTTTGACACAGAACCATTGTTTTGATATCCAAGCTCTGAATTTCATTTACTACTGGTTATTCCACCCGCTTATAAATATTTCAATTTTATCCAATACAAATATTTTGCACTACTATTAATGAAATCAATGTTTTCTATCACACCTAGTATGAGTCTCTTTAATACCCTTATTCTTACATAAAAATCCACTACCTGCAAGAAACTTAAATTTTTAAAATTTAAACTTTCTCTCGCAAATATCAATCTTCAAACAATGCCTTATAGGTTACTAATGACGATTAACCTCTTATCATAAGGCATTAAAAGCTATATAAAAGCCTTTGTTTCAATTAATATGTTACTTAATAGTTGACATATTTTTATTATGCAGAACTTCATGTAATGTTCATATTTGTAAGATCCCACATGTATATTGCCATATATCACATCACATGCACCAATAGCTTAAAACATACTGCCTGCAGTTCCCTTGCAAATGAACTAATTACTTCAGTTACATCATAAAAGTTATGTCTCGATAACCGTGGTACAAAGCCTGGTACTTGACTTATAATCTGCGGGTTTGAATCTCTGCCATGAACATGCTCACTCTTTCAGCTGTGATGGTGTTATAATATGACAGTCAGTCTCACTATTTATTTGTAAAAAGGTTTGTTGTAAGTGGCGTTGACAAACTCTTTTCATTTAGTCTGTTACTGCTAAATTAGGGATGGCTAGTGTAGTCTTCAAGTAGTTTTGGGCAAAATTCAAAACAAGCAAGCTGTGCTACAATAATATGCTGCCATCTAGGAGCCGTCAAATTCAACTCCTTACAGGCATCGCAAAATAAATAATCACTGGCAGAAATCAGCTAAAGTAAGACTTTTCAGTTAAAATTCTCGTATGTCAGGGTTAATATTCAAGCTGCCACTACACTATACATAAATATTCAAGCAAAAAAAAAAAAAAAAAAAAA